ACAGGAACCATTACCAGAGCTGGCACTGTGCTATTTAGACTTCCAGTCTCCAAAACTGTGAGCTAATTAAACCTCTTTATCAGAGGTTTAAGTCTCAGGTATTTTTTGTTTTTCGGTCCTGGGTTTTGAACTCAGGCTCACACTCTTTGCTAGAAAAGTGTTCTATTACTTAAGCCATACCCTCAGACCTTTTTGTTTGTTATTTTTCTGACAGGGTCTCACGTTTTTGCACAGGCTGACCTTGAACCTCAATTCCCCAATCTCTACCTCCCAAGTAGCTGGGATTATAGGCCTGAGCCACTGCACCTGGTGTTTATTATGGCAACAGAAAACTGACTAGTATATAGCAAGAAATCTCTGGGTTGCTGTATGTTGGCTATGTAGAGAATGTTGGGGGACATAGATCAGCTTCACATCACTATAACGAAATACCTAAGATAATTACAAAGACAAAAGATTTTGGCTCATGGTTTTGGAGTCTCAATCCAAGATGGGATGGACCACTGCTTTGAACCTCTGATGGGGGGGCGTGCCACATAGCAATGGCAGTGAGTGGGTGACAGAACAAACAGCCACCTCATGAGTAAGAAGCAGAGAGAAAATGGAAGAAGGGGTCCGGCCCCCAAGATCTTATACAAGGCTCCACCTTCTAAAGGGTTCACCGCATCCCAAAAGCATCACCCTAGGAACCACTGCAGGCAATCACTGAAGGAGACACCCCTACAGAGCACCTGTCTAACTGGGAACTACAATGTACTCCAACCAACCACCTCCAATAAATTGGCTGCAGAGGAGTGCCTTCTCAACAGGTCTCAAGGTTTCCATGATGAATATGGAAGCCAATGAAACGAAGCACACAGACCTATAGAAAGATGCAGGGGCCATTTTACATCAATCTCCAAGTTCCTCTAGGGAGAAACCAAAGGAAAGGGAAGTTGGGTTAACTATGAGACTGGAATATCCATAACCCAACGTAAGAAGGCTAATTGTAGAAAAAGTATGAGCAAATGAATATTCCACTCCTTTACTTACAAAATAGATGTCAATGGTCATAAAAGGGAATCTCAAGTTCTTAGAGATGAGGTAGGAGTTACCACACAAAACACCCCACATATCAACAGCCCTGTGGGTCCCAAACTTGCATGTTAGCCAAATGTGGGGGCTGAGCAGCGCTGCACCCCAGCTACTTGGAGACAGGAGGATCACAGTTCGAGGCAGCCTGGGCAAAAGCACAAAACCCCAACAAAAACAAACTGAAGTAAAAATGGCTGCTGGGAACATGGCTCCAGTGGTATAGTTCTTGCCCAGTAGCACGCTCAGGCAATATCTAGTATTGGGGAAGAAAAAGAAAAATGAACCCTGATGCTCAGGTCCCATCCCAGATGAATTGTCAGACTGGATGGGTTTTTTGGGTTTGTTTTGTTTTGTTTTAAATTGGTCTCTGAGAAATTCTAACATGCAGGCAGCATTGAGAAGCAACTTCTCATTCAATGCTCAATGAAAAGAAACATTCTCTGGCTGTTTTTTAAATGAACAACTGTGATGGTCTAAGCCAGTCTCTGAAAGTTTTGGACACGATCTTCTGTAAGCCTAAATGTGTGGCTAGTATACTTATCCCTATAAAATAAAAGCATCAAGAAACAATTCTTACCTTGACTCCTTGTGACGACTGGTATTTGTGTTTTATTCTATTTCTTTTTCTTAAACAAAAATACTGCTCTTGACCAGAATATGTTTCGTAAGTAAGAGTAGCCAGGAGCCAGTGACTCATGCCTGAGAGAGGGAGGCTGAGATCCAAAGGATCATGGTCTGAGGTCAGACCAGACAAAAAAGTTAGCAAGAACCTCATCTCAACAGAAAAAAGCTGGGTGTGGTAGCATGTGCCTGTCATCCCAGCAATAGGAGGATCGAAGTCCAGGACGGCCTGGGCAAAAAGACCCCATCTCCAAAATAACCAGAGGAAAAAAGTGGTAGAGTGCCTGCCTAGCAAGCCTAAAGCTGAGTTAAAACCCTAGTACTGAGGCGGGGGGGGGGGGGGAAGCAAGCTTGGTGTTTCATATAAGCATGAGTATACAGTTTAAGTTCACATTTTCCCTACTACAATGGCTCTGAAGAGACAGGGGACATTTTTGGTTATTACAACTGCAGGTAGGTATGCTACTGGAATCTGATGGGCAGAGGCCAAGTACATTGTTAAACATCCTAGAGGACAAACTCCAAAAACAATGAATTATCCAGCCCTAAATATCAACAGTGCAGCAGCTGAGAAACTCTGTGACATTGGCCAAGTGGAGGTTATACAGGTTTGGATGAGAATGTAAGGAATCAGAACTTGGCCATCTGCCTAAAAACCAGTGCCTGAGGGACAGCAAATTTGAACTGTTGTACACAAAATTAAAGCTCTTTCTACCCCAAAAGGTCCTCTTTCCACTATATTGCACTGCAGTATAGTGGAACAGAGCTATTAGGAGGTCCACACTATTCAATTCTGCTGTAGAGATCTAAGAGTACACAAACTTATGTACAAATGCATGCTAACATTGACTCAAAAGTGACTCAATTTGATTTTAGGAAAGTAAGCAAGCGAGAAAACCACAGCACACGCACATGTACCAGAGGAATGATTTTCATCACCTGCCCACCAGCAGAACTCAACTATCTAAACTATGTAGTACTTTGAGAAAGTGAACCTCTCTCCAAATATTAAGACCCAGTCACCCCAGAAAAGCATGTAATTGTTTAATGCTTTGATTACACATAATAGGAACTGATATATTTATCCACAGAAATCACATACCACAGGTATAAACTGACAAGTGGTAATGAAGAAAAATATTGGACTGCTGCTGCTTACAAAAGCAAGCCTTTTCAGGAGCTAACTTCTCATAGGCTATTTTTCACACAGGCATGTTATGTCAGCCAAGTTGTTAGTATGACGCTCCAGAACTAGGACAATAAAAATCAAGTAAACAATGGGGATTTTACCGAAGAAAAATGTTAATCATTGCTCAGACATAACTAGCATTCACAATGTGTTAGACTCATCTCAATTCTGTTCACTGTTGGTTACCAATATGACAGGATGTTTTTAGAAATATTGTCACAAACTGACAATCTGAGTCAAAACAATATAAAATTCAATCCTTTGCTAAACAAAGCATTTATCCAAACTGGCACATGTTCAAGGGATTCTAGCTGATTACTAGGTACGTATCACAATTGTTTAGCCAATGATACTTACATGCATTATAATTAACACAAGAAAAGGAATTCACAATTTTTAATTTCCCCCATTCAAAAATGCAGTTTAAGATCTTGACTATAGGGCCTCGTACTTGCAAGGCTGACCTTGGACCAGAATTCTCCTACCTTTGCCTCCTGAGAAGCTAGGATTACAGACAAGCACTAACACAATCAGCTTGTTTTAGAGACAAGATCTTACATTTTTCTTTTTTGCCCTGGCTGGCAAACTGTGATCATCTCCCAAATACCTGAGATTACAGGGTATGTGCCACTATACTTGGCTCCAGTTAAGCCATTTTTGAAATACTGATACATCTTTATAGAAAAGTGACACTACAGAAATTTTCTAGAATTTAATAAAAACTAATTTAGGCCAGAGCAAGGCTTTCTCCATTATCAAGCTCTACTTTGGGGTAGAAGGGAAAAAAATGTCTTCTCATCATTTGCCTTAAATGTCCTCTTAAGACTGTATGATAGAGACCAGCCTGTGGAACTACTGGGAGGGAGATGGTGCAACTTTTAGGAGGTAGGGCCTAATAGAAGGAAGGGAGATCACTGGGGGTGTGCCCTTGAATGGACACCCCCGTCCCCTCCTCTCTGCTTCCCAGTTGTTATGAGATATTCGTTTCCTCTAACACAAACTCCCCCTGCCCCATGATGGTCTGTGCCACCACAGGCCCAAAGGCAACAGGGCCAAGTGACCCATGGAATGAAACTTCTGAAACTGAGCCAAAACAATATTCTCTTTTTAAACTCATTTTGGTCAGTTATTTTCATCATAGTGATGAACAGCAAACACAATGAACCTCACAGTTGTACTCTGAACACTAAACCTATCTTCACTGCTGAGTATGTATCAGTATACTTTAATAATGTTATACAAGAACATGAAAAAATCCATCAAATTACATAAAAATTTAAAGCTTCTAAATGGTTAAGTAAAAAATTATAAAGTGTGGAAATGCTGAATAACTGATAAATCATTGAAATCCTTCACTGTTTGATCTTAAGACTCTCAACATTGATTAAACGCTGCAAATGAGAATGTATGAAGTGTGCAATTCATGAAAACAGGCACATTTTAAAATGCTCCAATACACATCAGACATAGTAGGGGTGTAGGCATTAAAACTAAGTTTCCATAGTTGGGGGCTGTTTCTCAACTGATACTTCAGCATCATGAGTTTCTAAACTTCATGGGTCACTAGCACCATCACCTAACAAGTGTGGTCTTCTCCCACCTGACCCTCTAATGCTATTTCAACTTTGTCCTTGGAAAATAACCAGATAGAGAAGACTCTGCAGTAAATCCACCAGTAGTGGGGCCAGTTAAAATATTTTAAAGCACATCTTTACAATGAATGTAATTTACTAAAACCTATAAATTGGAACACTGGACTATACCATACTTTCTGATAACTTCCCTGATAGTTTTTAAAAACAGCCCACAACACTGCAACACATATACCCACAAAGACATAGATAAACCCATCATTAGAGGGAAAAGGCTAGAAAGTTAACCAACATTGTTAGATGTTAACCATGTTCTTTTACTGGGTGATGAAATTTTAAGCTGTATTCACTTTGTATTTGTTTGAAATGTAATAAGGATATACTACTTTTAGGAGAAAGTGATTTTCATTTGGAAAAGAGATTTTCACAAAAAGTGACTTCATTTCTGCTGCAGCTTTACTTACTCCTCTTTCCTAGTCCCATTTTTAAATCAATGTGAAAACCAACAGTTTAGAAATGATACCATGGGATGAACTTTATTTTAAAGCTCATCAAGTTTTCACAATCAGTTACAACAGGATCAGTATTTATTCCATTTCACACCTTCACATGACAATGTACTTTTAAAGTGAGAAAGAATTGTTAAGTTTTGTTTGCATGCTGCTAACACATTTCACTAGCTTTTGTTTTACTCACTGAAATTTAATAGGAAAGCAAAATCATTCTATTGGACAGAATTTCTGAAAGCCCTTATGAAATCAGACTTAGTCTTATTTATAAACATCCACACCACACACATGCTGAAATGGAGAGCAAAATGCAAGAAAACTACCTTGGCAAGAACGAATGCTTAAAGATTTTAATCACAACCCTCTTGAACGAGCAGTACAGTTTGTTTCTCCAAAAGACAAAAGTCAATTCACTCTCAGAGATGCGAATGGTAATACTGCACAGAAGCTCAGTATGGATTCACAATTCCACAGGAATCTGAAAGTTACCAAGGCAATTTTCCCTTTTAGGATCATAAAGACTACAGACTTAAGCTTTTTCTGTTTCCATATGATACACAAAATTTCTAGACATCCTTAAAAAAGAAAATATAAATAGTCTCAGTCTGTTATGTAGAATCACATACTATGACAAAAATATTTCATTAGTTGAAGGAATAACCCAATTTAACGTCATCTAGTCCAAGTCCATATTAACAGAACTCTTCTCATTAGGGTAACATTCACCATTCTGATGTGGAGGTTCAGCACCAAAATTATTTTTGTCTTCCAAATCTTCTTCCTTTTTGTCCATATTTGGGCCATTTGGAGTTCTTTCCAGTTTGGGTGATTCAATTTTTGGTTTGGGTTGTGTTACAACAGGTTCACAAGCATTGTTCAACTCCTAAGAAAACAAAACTAGTCATTAGATTAACTCAGATATACCCAGTTCATTTTCAACTGCTTCTCCACATACCTGAATCACTATTTCGCTAACTCCAATTATACAAAGAATTCCATTTCCTCATTACAGTTGCTTATAACCATAGCTGATAAAAAAAAAAAAGTAATTCTTTCATTATTCATCAGCAACTTCCTATGTATTTACCAATATTACATTTGGTTTCTGTGACATTAAAAGGTAGGAATTATGATTCCCATACTAGGGAAGAGGAAAATGATTTGAGAAGTAATTTCAAGATAAGGAAAACCAGACTGCCTGCTTAGCAATCTTGAAAAAAAAAAAAAGAAACAGGAAAACCAGTGGGCAAAAGGGAAGAATTCGTTTATAGTCTGAAACTTGAAAGTGCTTTAAAAGGCCCACTGTTCCTTGACTTTCATTATGACTGAATATTATCCCAGACAAACACTTTTCTTCAGGTCTCACCCAACCTGTGTGCTCTCCAGTCTAAAATTTCCTAACTCCTTTTTACTCAATTTTTCTCCCATGGCACTACGGCACTTAACACTATGTGACAGATGACCCATACTTAATGTATTGCTTGTTGCCCTCCCACAAGAAAGTGAGTTCATACAGACAGGGAGTTTACTTTGTACACTGAATATTTAACTTCTAGAACAACAGCTGGTATATGACAGGGGTTCAGCAAACATAAATGGAAATTAACAGAAACTTATGAGGTCTTCTATATTTTATGATACAATAGTGAATTAAGAAAGCCAGTCTCAGTAAGGATGAGGTAAAAAATTTATAGGAATTTGAGGGGGAAGAGACAATGTATACACATGGGAGTAGATGTAAAAATGAAAAAAATAAAAAAATTTACAGGAAAAATGGCTATGTATAAAGCACAAATAATTTGAAGTTGAGCCCGTTAAGAGAATCCAGCAGTACACATGGGATATGAATACTCACCCTGATTTTTGCTTTTATTTCATGAGCACGTACAACTGGATCCTGATCAAGGCTCTTTTTAGCCTGAGCATTCATGACATTATTCATCCACTCCATCATTTCATTAACAGACTTCTCAACCTTTTTCATTTCAGACTCATCAATATGGTTGTATTTCTCATCCTAAACATAAAACATAGACATTTTGAAAAATTAGTATTTAATAGTTACATTTGATTTGACCCAACTTTCCATGAAGTTCAAATCTACCTCTGCTATCAAATACTAAAATTTCCTCACTTAGTATTTATTCACAATGAAAATTCTTGAGCCTAAGCATTAGCTATTAAAATCTAGGCTTATTCTTCACTATGTATAAGAATGACTACCTTGCTTCTGAAATCAACTGCTATCTTGGCATAGTGCTGCAGCCTCTGTCCTAGTTCTTCGAACATTTTTGGCCGTTCCTCAGCTTCTTGAAATCTGACTTTAACTGGAGTGCCGATTTTCTAAAATAAAATATAATAAATTAATAGCCATCACAATTATATTTTAAGAGACTATAGCATAAAATACAAGTCCCCCTTTTTAGGGACGAGCCTACCATTAACTCTTCCAATTTGTCAACATAAGCTTGTTTAGCCTGATCTTCTCCTTCTTCATAGAGCCAGTCTTCAGTCTCTGTGAGGAGCCTCAAAAAATTCTGATGTTCCTTTACGTGAAAAAGGACAAAATTAGTGGCAATCTTTGTTCAGAAATTTTTTACAATAAGACAAAGAGGCATCTTAGAAGTTGCTAATCTCTTTGAGGAAGGTACTCTAATTAGCTGGATTCTCTGTACTCCAAAATACCAACACTCTGTAGGAGGGCTAGTGGCCCAAACAATGTATACACATGTGAGTAAATGTAAAAACAATTAAAAAAAAAACCAACGCTCTATTAATTAGCTCATCTTTTACACAAGCGATTGATAGGTATTTTGTGGATTCCCCGTCTTGTTACATAGGGACATTTGAGTGTGTTTAGTTTAAATTGCTCCTGACTGACAATATTGTATCTTAGAAATCCAGTTTTGGATAATCTATACATTGAAATGTTCTGATTATGGATAAGCGATTATGTTCATATTCTCCAAAGCAATCACATCTGAATTACTTTTTATTCATTTGCACAACCATCAGATACTGAAAGGGAATCTAAATACAGGGAAAAAAATCATCCTTAACTGACTCATATAAGGTATGTATTGCTACTCAATCCTTAAGATACCTAGCCCAACCCAAAAACCCCAGGAGATGGCACAACATGCATAACAACCAAACTGTACCACAAGGTAGCCCAAGGATCTTAGGACTATTACAATTCCCAACTTAGGTTTTACTGAGATTTAACTTCAGAATTAATCCCTAAACCATCCTAAGATTTTTATTTAGCCATTTTTTTTTCCCAAGTCACATCTTTCATGTTGTCTTCTGCAATATACTCAGAGCCATTCTGACTGGAAGAAAAGAGCTAAAGTAAAGGGATCAATGCTGTTTAACATTGCAATGACTGGCTGACCATGTCTAAAGCTGCCAAGGGAACAGCATCCAAAAAAAAAGTCTGAAGTCTTTGAAAATATAAAGACTTTGCCTTATTTATCTTTCCAGCTCCCATAACTGGGAGGCCATAGACTCAGAGTAAATGCTTGATAGGTTCTCTTTTCTGGATGGTAAAAACTGAGTTATTGGGGTAAGTTATAAGAAGATGAACTGCTCATCACTGGTGAGTCCTTCTCTCCATGACTCTGTTTATAAAATTTCTATTTCCAAATTTTTGTGGTTCAAAAAGCTGAAGCTACATAGCATAGGGGCACAAATGTCAATTAGTTTAGTAAGTACTTATGAGACTTTGAATAAAAACAGAGCTTCAAAACATACCTGTTCACATATGAATTTTTCATAGGGCCCACATAGCTTGTCCCTGAACTCATACACATATTCTTCCACTGCATTCTTAGCATCATTTCTTTCTTTTTCCAATTTATCCTGCATTATCATCTTCCCCTGTCAGGAAACAGAAAAGGTTATTCTCCTCTTCCAATAACATTTCAACGAGCTGGACACTAGGGTTTATTTTTTTCTTTAATAAAAAAGATATAAAACATTAAGTGTTTTTCAATTTATACTTTAAATAACTCTATCAAGTACATACACAGGTGGAAGTTTTTATTTTTTTCAAACTATAAATTACATAGCTTATGTTCCAGATGAATACTGAGTAAAAAACAAAACAAAAAAACCCAATTCATTGCTCAAATGTAAGTTTGTCTTCCTGTATGTAATAACATATCTATGTCATGCTGGAATTAACAGTGGCATTTGTAATGGTCACATCACTTTTCAGTACATTTTTAAATAAAAAATAAATGGATTATGTTGTTAAAGTTCTAAATACAGAGTTCCCAACTCAGTAAAAATGAACCTCAACTACTTTAGCTATTTTTCTAGAATTTCAGACTGGAAAGAAGCACAACATATCTAATAGAAATGTTCTGAGTAGCCTAGATTCCACTGTGCT